GGCGCTTTCGTCTGATGCATCAAACAGTAACGGCCGCTTTTATAACCGCCAGATGGCGCCAGCTACTTAGCAGAGCTGCAAACCATTAGCTATTTCAAGCCAACTGTGATGTGTTGACAGTTGCAGAGCCATTGTTACAGTGCTAAGAGTGGATACAGTTTTGAAAGCATTTTGCAAATAGCTTCCTTGAGCGATTTATGAGGTTTCCATTCATATTGGCAGCGTAATAAAAGTCCAATTATGCAATTTTACTTGCTTTTTGTCGTTTTTACATACTCCTGCGCATGTCGTTAAAGGATCTTAAAACGCAGAAGCCACAGGACTAAGTCAGTGGCTTTTAAACTGCCTAAATGACTTGCTCTTGGCCTGAAAGGTGCATAAATCTGTTAAATTATCCGCACACACACACACACACACACACACACTCAAACACACACACGTGCCATCTATCAACCGCAAAAAGGCAGCAAAATTTTGACTGTGAATACGTCATAAAAAACGATTTAACAGCCGCAACAACCGCCCCTCAAGCCGTAACCCCCCTCCCCCCACCCCTCTACCCCACCTAACACCCTCTTAACAGTCAGCTCTGCTTAAAGGCAAACGGAAATGAAGCGATGCGCGGCATAAAACAAACAAAAAATATAATATATATATATATGTATGTATAAGTATGTATGTATATAGGGAAGTGAGGGCGAGCGCAAGGCTCTGATAGTCCTGCGTGTCCGCCCCTTTGCCACGCCTCCGCGCACAAGCCTGCAGCGTTTTTATGGTCCATCAGCAGGCGCCTAATGCCGGCAATTAAAATAAACGGCAGCAAAAATGCCGCCAGAGGCAGCCAACCAGCCAGGACTAGGATCAGAGCCTCTTCCTGCTGCTAGGATCAGAGCCCGCTGCACGCCCAATTCGCAGGACCCGCTCTCGAGTGGCTCCTGCCGTCAACTCTTGACAGGCAGCTGCTATGCGGCCCATAACAAATGTGCGTTTAATGAAATTTTTATTCAATCAGTGCAGCGGCTTTTACGGCTACTATCTCACATCGCATCGAAAGCGACAGACAGGGAGAGTGTGAAGGGGGAGAGGGTAAGGGGGGGGGGGGGAGTGTTCGTTATGATAGATAACCTGTTGATGTGCTCGATGACGTATGTGATGCTTGATGTGTGGCGAAAGAGTTTGAAAAGTTATCAGAAATTGCAAGAAAATAAAAGCTTACTTTCATCAGTTAGTTGCTTGAGCTTTAAGTGTGCTTTAAAGCATTAACTCAATATATTGTAGAGAGCTTAAAGCTGTTTTTGACTGAGACAAGCTTAATTGCTTGCATTCATTCACGTAATCTCACTTAAAGCTTGCATGTGCTTTTCACTCATTTTTGTTGAAATAAAAGAATACAAAACTTTGTACAACTAAAGCTTTCATGTGCTTTTGAAAATAAGCGTTGTCAAAAGCTTTATTACTTTTTAAAAGTACAATATACTTAATGGAAGCTTGCATGTGCTTGCAAAGCTTTCTCGCAGCCAAGTTGAACTACAAATACGAGAATACAGTAGTTTGTATACCCAAAACATAGGAGAGCTTTTGACGTTTAAAAATTAAAAAAGCTTTATTGCCATTTAAAAGTTCATTAACCAAAATTAAAGCTCTCATGTGCTTGTGAAGCTTTATCAAGGACAACATCTCAAAGCGTATCTAAGATAACTCAAAAGCTGCAACTAAAGCTTTTGGTTTACGCTTAATCGCCTTTTAAGCTTTTATCAGCTTTTTCGTTCGTTGTCGTTCTTTCTATTATTTATTTGCCAGTTTTGGTTAAACTGTGAGGCTTTTTTGAGAAAGAGATAGATGAGATTAGTTTTAGATCTACTTTTTTTATGAAGGGTTTTCCTTTGATATTTGGTAAGCTATGAAAATCTGTTGTTTTTTATTCATGATGTCACTTGGCGGGGCTGCTCACAGATATTTTCCTGCTCCATGTATATAATTTCCTCAATTTTCCTTAATTTTCGTCATTATATTTGCCGTACGCCCTGCGGCTGCAATTAGGCCGCCACACAAAAGCAAACACATTCGTCTAAGACACTCACCCCCCCTCCCCCCCTGCCAGGCAGGAAAAACCGCAAAAAACAGTTGAGTCGAGTTGGCCACATTTTCAGGTGCAGACATTTCCCGGCCCTTTCCCAGCACACTTCTTCTCATTAAAGTTGACGGTGAGCCGCGATTTCCACCTGGCTTTCAATTAATTCCGAGAGAGACAGACTGAGACGGGGGCGGTAGCAGGGGCGGGGCGGGGCGGTGGCTGGTGCCTGGTTCGATTCTGAGCACCAACAGGTGCGTATTACATTTGCATAGATTAGGAGAAGAGCTCGGATTTTGGGCAACTTGTTCGCTGTTTGCGGCGGCTCAGAGCCGAGCACAAGTTGGCTTAATTAAAAAGTTTATAAAAATTTACATAAATTTCATTTGCGCCTAATGAATTTGCGCGCTGAAATTGAAAGCCCAGTCAAGCGGGCCAATGGCAACAATTAAACAGCTTATGGCCAGCTAAAAAAAGGAAAAAAAAAAAAAAGAAAAAAATAAAAGGTTAAGTCGTCAACACTTCGAGTCCTTTGGCAACTGCCCCACGAAATGGCTTTGCTAATTTGTTTCGCATATCTGCCAAATATTGTTTGGAAAAGCGGCTAAGCGGCAAAGCGGGAAAACTGTGCCGTCTGCCATGTGGGTCAAGTAAATCAATCGACAGCTTTTCCCAGTTTTCCGTACCAAAGAACAACAATAACAGGGGCCCCATAAAGGTCTGCTGTCTGGCCGGAGCCATCACCTGGGCTGGCCCTATAAATAAATCATGGCCTTTGATAATGTGCCACACACACACACACACACACGCACACAGACAACTATAACAAACACTTTGATAAGATATGCGGCCAGCCATTTTCACACGTCCCTGCTCGGGCGCCCTGTCCAGTTCCTGCCCGGGCGTCCGGGCGAACCTCATGACAGCGTTTGACTTATTGTCAAGAGCTGCTTCGCCTGTCTGCCAGCTTAGCTTAGCTTGGCTTTGGTTTGTTTACATGCCACAGTCCGTGGCACGCTCAATCATAATACAATTTGACATATTGTTGCATGTTTTCAAAGCGGACGACGCGGCGTATACGTAACGAAACCTTTTCCCGTGATTAATCAACATGACATCGGGATTTGCTGATTCGCCGCCGTCTGCTGCATTTGGCAAATGAGTTTATGTCTTGCGGCTATTTAAACTACAATTTGTTGGCAAACGCAACCACAAAAAGTTTGTCTCAAACGCCATCAATAAAGGGAAGCAATACAAAATGTGTTTGAAATGGTTTCGAAGCAAAAGGTTTCTTAGCTTGTGAAATGTTCATTAATTATTATTTGATTGTAATTATTATCTTTAACGAATTGACGTTGCAGAAGAATAAATTGACTGAAAATATATAAATTCTATAAAATCAAGGGTATTTAGAAGACAGATTCTTAATATTCTATCAAATATATTTCAATTAAGATCATTCAAAATATTACTGAAGTAATAAAAAAAAGGATATTTATTGCTGTAAAAAGTATAAAATACATTTAATACATATAAAATATATAATTTAAGTTATAATCTTTGAAATTTGAAACAATAAATGTGAAAAATGTTAAACTATTATTTTGCTAGTATGCAAGCCTGGTCAATTATACGGAAAAGGCAAATGCATCAAATGTCTAATGCATACGTGCCTGCAGTCTATTAAAATGTTCCTATTGGCCAATTTGTACTAAAAGTGTATAATAAAAAATATGCACATAACCTACAAATCGGGGTCAGCTGATAACCCGGCGTATGAGTAATGTGCTACAAGTGAATGCACATTCACATTCACATTTACAGGTACAAAGTACAAATGTTGACACATTTATGCCCAGAATCTAAATTTATAAGCACGCACTCTCACACACACACACACACACGCACATATCACAGCTATCAAAAGGAGTGAAACGATATGAGCAACGGTTAATCCCAGCAGAAGCAGCAGCTAATAAAATGTGAAAAGAATGCGAACATATATAAATAAATAAATAATAAATGCCTGTCAGCGTTTTTGGCTCATAAGCAGGCCAGCAAAAGGCAAAAAGCCAAAAAAAAAAAGAGAAAGGAAAATCAAAATGAAAATAGAAGCAACAAAGCTGCACATGGCATAACGGCAGAAACAGTCGCAGCGACAAAAAGACAAATGTCGGAGCAGCTGTAAAAGTTGCAGTCGTCGAGGCAGACAAAAGGCAGCAGCAGCAGCAGCAGCAACAGCAACAACAACAACAGTGCTAACAACTGCAGCAACAATAAAAATAACAGAGCCAGCAGCGACGTCAGCAGAAACTATAACAAAGGCATAAGTAACAGCAGCAACAACAGCACAACTAACAGCAAAAGCAACAACAACAGCAGCCGCAATAATAGCGACGACTGCAGCGTCAGCAGAGGCAGCTGCAGCGGCAGCACTAACAAAGCAATAGCCAAACAGCGGCAAAGCAAACAAAGAAATCATAATAATGCCAAAGAGCAAAGGCAAACACACAGCGCACCAAAAGCTTTGGCTTTTAACGATGACGTGCACGAGCGCCAAATGCATAGAGAGCTTTTATTTTGGTGTGTGTTGTTGTCGTCATCAAACATCCAGTTCAAACATGTTGCGAACAACTGCGAAGGCGACAGGCAACTCAGCTCAAACGCACGACGGCGCTTGCACGAAACGGACGCGAACGCGGAATTCGGAACATTCAAACGGGACATTGACTTTTCGCGCCAAACGGTACGAAAAACACAATTTTTGAATCTCACTCGAAAACAATTTAAAAAAAAACTGCAAATAAAGTTTGCGTAAAAAGCTCTCAAACAGTTATTCATATGCATATGTTGAGTATAATTTTTCGTTTATTAATTTGGAGGTTCGAGTGGAAAAAACAGCGCGCAAAATTTTGCTAAATATAAATCAAAATACAAAAAGTGCATAAATTTATGTATACAAGCCAAGTGTTTCGGTGTGTGCGCGTGTGTGTGTGCGTGTGTGTGTGTGCTGATACAATTTATCGATCAAATACATAAAGCCGCATATTAACCGGCCCCGCGAGCACATTAACTTCCCTTTTTTTTTTTACTGTTGTTGTTGTTGATTTTATTTTCCATGGAAATTGACCAAGAAACGGCCACGTTTATTTGGTGAGGCAGCCCGAAATCCCCGCCAGCCCCTAGACGAGGGGGGCCTGAAAAGCAGGTTGGTTTTTTATTTTTGCTTAATTAAATAACTTAACAAAATGTCGCCCACAAAAATTGTTTTTTTTTTTTTTTTTTGGTTCTTGAGGGCTTTTTCTTTGTTTTGTTTACATGGTTAAAGCGATTTTTTTGTACTTTGATTTGTTTGCTTTTCCACGCTTTTCCCCCGGCTGGTTATCCGGCGCTTAAACTGTTTTCCGCCCAAATTCACTTGCTGACGATTTGGGATAATCAGGCGCCCGAGTCCTGGCATGCATTTCGTACGCACTCGCAAAAAGGGAGCGAAAAATTCAACCAATAAATGAGGGAACAAAATCGCTCATACGCAACGTTGGCCGCCCCTTTGGGAAACTTATCAAGACGTCGCTGCGGACCGGCGGCCTGTCGAAGGGGGCGGGAGGCGGGTTGGCATTAAATATTCCAGGACATTGACAGGCCAGTTTATTGCACTCTTTGAAGCGACCCAGTTGCCGTCGTTTGTTTTACGCCCCGGCCGAGCATTGAATGCCAAGTAAATAAATACATTTTGCAATGATTATTTCTGTTGTAAAACACATTTCACATTCCTTCGGGTGCCATAAACCACTTGACAGCTTCAAAGGCAGCAGAAACTGCCTCAATTGCAATCAATTTTAATACATTTTTAAAGCCAAAAAGGAAAAACTCTAAAAAAAGCACAAGTTACAGGTTGAGGCTAGTCAAACATACCGAAGTGTTGAGGCGTAAGAAATTTTAGTGCCAACAAATTCAAGACGATTTATAGACTGGGCTGGGGAATTCAATTGGATTTGTGCACCATGAGTAAAGGCTGCTCTGCAAAAGTTTATATTTACATAAGCCTAGTTACAGTAATGACATGTTAAATTTGTTTAACATCATGTTAAGGCTCGCTGTAATGAAAACTTAACTCCTTCTGCACGTTATTCTATTAATGTTATACTCATTTTGATTTCCCATCTTGTACTGTTAAAACAAATGTTATTAGCTGCTGCTAAGTGATTAATGTGTCTATTATGTTAAGTGATTTATGTGTTAAAAGCTTTAAACACTTTTATCTGTCTGATTCTTATCATGTTAATGTTTAATATTAAAGCTCTCTTTTAGCTGTTATAAATAAACACTGTTATGTGCCTCTAACAGCAGTCGACTTAACAGTGCCAAACGCTGCTAAGTAGTAGTAGTAACAGAAATGGAAGTTGTCCACGAATAACCTTAAGGAATGCTTTGGCTTCTTTAGCTGTGAGCACTGTTAATTGGATCATGTTATTATCAATTATTATTGTTTTCCCAAACAGCCAAACAGTTAGTCCTATTAAATGATATGTTTAACGGCTAACAGCATGAGATCTCGTCTTGTAGTTAACATATATATATAATGTTATCAGCCGCTGTTAAGTGATCATTGTGTCTGTTATGTTAAATTCCCAAAAGGCTCATTTTAAGCTGTTCTATTACATAAATCGAACTTAACAGCTGCACTTGAGCACAGACATGTTAATTTTAAGTGCTTCGACTTAATGTTAATTATATATCCCGCTATCTAGTTCGATCGAAAAGTGTTTTTCTCTCACTAATTTTCCAGCTGATTTCCACCATTAAATGAAATAAAAAATAAGGACTTCGGGCAACTTGCATGGCAAATAAAACGTTAGACAAACAAATCCCCGGGGAAGTGCGCTCGGCCATAATCAAAGTCAGTCAGTCAACCGCTCGGATTGCCGCACGTTGACACCACAATTACAAAATCCAATCACAACAACAACAACAACAAGAACAACAACAACGACAACAACAATAGGAGGAAGTGGGCCCAACTGCTGCACTGCGTCATTTGAGGCACATTCGCTTTGGCAATTGCTTTGCGGGCTGTTTGCCAATTAAACTAAAATGGCGATTGGCACGCGACTCGGAGCTGGCCGCAGCCACAGCCACGCCCACACACTAACCCACTCCCCCGAGCCGGGAGGAGCCGAGTGCGTTGTGTGGAGTTGCATTGCTTTTATGTCTAATCAAATTTGCCGAACTAATTCCATTTGCATGGCCCCCCTCCACAGAAACAGCTTTAGCTGAAGCCAAAAGAAATTCTCAGCGCAAAATTAAATTTAATTTTACGCTTGGGCCTTTGGGCACGCTTCAGCGCCTCGTCCAAAAATTGTAAATTCAATTAAAAGCTGCCTCAAAACAGCGGCAGCAGCAGCACCAGCACCAGGTATAAAACGCTTAAGTCTGGCCAAAAGGTTTAGTACCTGGTATCGGCTGTTGCCACATGTTGTAGTTGCAGGCAGACGAGTTGAGGGCCCACTAAAAGCCACTGCTGCTGCTGCTGCTGTTGCTGCCAACGCATTTACCACTTGCCACATGCCACTGGCAGAGAGGGGGGAGCGAGGGGGAGACAGACAGAGCGAGGATGAGCATGAGCTGGGTTTGTTATGGGCTCTGCGAGCTTCAGAGCTGGAGAGCTGGCTCTGCCATCTGGTTCGCGGCATTGTTTGTGTTTTGCCGAAATGCAGCTACCGCCTTCAAAAGTGCTTTTCATACTATATTTTCAAATTGAAATGGGGCGTATTAGCTATTCTTTCTGTCCACACAAACAAACGAAGAATCTGCAGATAGGCACTTAAATCTGGGCATATAAATAATAAATGTGAATACATGTGAAAAGTCACTTTAGGGTTTGGCTTGACCTTGATTATGATCTTATAAGCCGCAAATGTAATCAGTTTTCAGGTTTGCTACAACTCTAAAACCTATATGCTTAAGATCCCAGATTCTAGAGTCTTAATGTCTCAGTTTTAGAGGAACTGCCTTAGATTATGACACATAGATCAGATTGCGGAACATAATCTTTTTCCACCTTAAAAAGAGTATCTCGTAGCTGGAAGGACTTTAGAGTGACACGTTTTTTCTCGTTTATTATTGTCATTGTAGTTGACACTGCCTGCCAGACGCCTGTATGTCCTGCTCAATCCCCCCGCCTCCATCCCACCTCTTCGGCCACCCTTCCTTCATACAACTCCCCAGGACTCCATAGTGCCCGCTGCCTGGGCGTGGCCACATTTCGTGTATGACAAGTTCCGTAGCTTCACTTTGAACTATGTTTGCCCTGCGTGTATGTGTGTGTGTGTGTGTGTGTGTCTGATGGGTGTGAGCTGTGTGCGTGAGTGTGTGTGCTTCAAGTGGCAAGCCCTCGACGTGGCAAGAAACGTGACTGAGGCGTAGACTTACAACAATTTCCGCTGCACAGTTACTTAAAAAAATAAAAAAAACACAAAATGGGGAAAAACTAACCAAATGTTTAGACAACCACGGCAGGCAAGGATGCGGCAGGACACTTGGCAGGACACTTTGTTCGCATCATTGTAAAAGTCCACAGCAAACATGCAAAAATCTTTGCCACACACACACAGATAGATTACCAATGTGCTGCACTTTCCTACATATATGAGAACTACATTGGCATAAAACGAAAAATAAATAAGATATAGTATATGGTCCGACATGCATTTATTTACGCAGCTCAACTTTCTGGCCATTTGCCATGCTTCTTTTTTAATAATTTTCACAGGCGCCTAATGGTCGCTGCGCATTGCTTTAGGCTTTTCCCCATTTTCCATTAGTCCTACGGCTCAGCCTTAGCTGAGCTGCGCAGCGCATAATTGGAACGGGCTGCCAGTTCCCACGCGGCTTAGCGGTTGATCATAGTAAAAAACTGTGCAAAAGGCGCTTCACAAACAACTGACAACAACTAATCCCTTTAATCGATAAAGCATTTCAACGGGCAGTCAGCCCTGCTCAGGAATGGAAATTGGAAAACATATGCGAGGTCCATTTAAAGGGAATTTTCAGCGCCTCTCACAATGCAATCAAAAGATCAAAGGAAATCAAGGCTAGAGCACGACGGATACAATACAAAGGAATTTAGGGATTTGTGTAATCGAAAAGTGTGAGAGTCGACTAGCAGATGACCTGTAGCCCGATCTGGCGGTACTTACCCCGCAAACTCAGGATGTAAGCCGTCGCTCCAGCTCCGTCTAGTGTTGGACTTTAACTCTGCTGCTTCTTGGCGCATTTTAATCGATTGTTTGCCTATTCTGTGCCTATCAAGAGCTGTAGAAAGTAAGAAAATAAATAATAAATTAATGTTATTTAAATTCATGAAAATCGCATAGAAAGGCGCAATCGATAGAAAGATAGTGTTGGAAAGGGCGAAAGAAAGGGCGTGAGAAAAGGAACAGTTCGATAGAAAGAGATAGAGATGGACAAGGGGAAGAGAATGGGAGTGCGAGAAAGATAGAGAGAGAGAGTAAGAGAGCGAGAGAGAGAGAGAGAGAGAGAGAGAAAGAGAGGAGAGTTAGCGAAAGAAAGAATCGCATTTATCGCATTACCTAAGTGTGAAACCACATAGAATGATTTACACAAATGGTAATATGTAGCATTAAATCAATCAGCCAACCTTAATTGACAATAAACTGAAATAACTATTGGAAGAACATTACAAGAAATACGTAAACTGATGAAAATCGCATAGAAGGGCGATTACAGAGCTTACCAGTTGTATATGTAATGTATACAATGAATAAATAGATATTAAAATAGACACAATTGATCGATTCTGGTAAATGAAATCATGATTAAATTCACAAGCTGGAAAAATTCTGAATGCATAAAATAAGGTGAAGGTGCTGAGGAGCGCACGAAGCAAGCAAATACAAGGCGAGTGTGTGTACACACACGCACACCCACACACACAGAGACGAGAGTCTGCCAAGTGTGTGAAGTCAAACGCAGCGAAGGACTCTCAACATATGCTCGACAAAGCCAGGGAATATGCTTGTATGCGAGGAAGTTAGATAAACACACTCGTAAACACAGCCTGTCAGGCACACACACACACACACACACACACGCACACGCACACAATTAGGGGGCAATAAACTTGGCTCGCAGAAAAATTTCCAATTTATTTTGTGCTCAAGTTAATTATGACATACGCACATTAAC